CAATCAAGCACAAGAAAACGTATCCGAATCCAACGACTATGGCTTCAATCCTGACGAGGTCGACTACAATGAAGGCGATGATGAGGAAATGGATCAGGAGGAGGAAGCTCAACAGGAAGACGACGAAATCGTTGAAGAAGACGACGATGAAATGGACGTCGAACCTGAAGATGAACCTTCTTCCAAACTTCCAGCGTGGACTAAGAATCTTGAGAGCGGCAGCAAGGGTATGCCAGAAGACGGACTTATCAACAATGATGTCTCCGAGGCCGCGGCTCACTTGTATGACAATGCTGTCATGCGGCTCACTTGTATGACAATGCTGTCATGTCAAAGGTCATCACAATGTTCAGGCTCTACTATAAACAGAGAGTCACTCTGACCCCAGAGGAGTACTATGAGATGATGACGGAAACCAAGCGAGTTCGGCTGGACCTGGACGACTTCTGCCCCTACACAGGCGAAGACCAGGATGGCAACCTCAAGCGACCGACAGAGCTGGAGTTGGACGAACTCTTTCAGGAGAAAGGGAAAAGGAACTCATGGTCAGAGGGAGAGAAGATGTACTCAGGACGACCAAGAAACATGATGATGCCTGTCATCAAGACTTTGGAGATCTATGAAAAGATGATGGAATTTCTGGTACGCGCCGGGTACACTCCCGAGTCATTAGGTTTCCTCATGCCAATGAACCGAATGCAGGCTGATGCCCAAGGGAAGCAGGAGATGCGAGTGACCATCAGCAACTTTCTTCGACGACTGCTGAAAGGAACCTTTCCAGAACACGAATCATACACCTTCTTTCGCTCCGGGAGCCACGGCTTCCCCAACTGCATCGAACTCCCAGCTTTCTCGGTATATCTGAGTCTGAGGGAGAAGGAACAGAGAGTGGAATTACTCTTTGCCGCCCAACAATGTGGCATTCATTTACCTCAAAACTTTGTCAGCAAGATGGCTTATGCTATTCAACTGGCTGAGGCCGAGGCGCAGAGGGGAAAGACCGAGATGAAAATGAAGATGGCTCCAACCCTTGGCGACGAAGTGGTAAGTGAAGTGTTCAAAGCAGTCGGGCATACTGCCGCTTCCAAGTTTGCCACCGCAGGCGCGAAAGCCAAATCATCAGCACAACCTTCACAGAAACCTGAAGGCACTGGTTCAGCATCATCCTCATCGGCCAGCGCACCAAAGGCTAAGGCTATGCCGAAATCCCATGAACCATCAAAGGCACCGCCTGCGAAGCCCTCATCGCCAAAAGCTGCTCCGAAACGTGCGGCAGGATGGGAGAAATCTCAAACAACACCTCAATGGAAGAAAGTCCGCCGTGAGCAGTGAACCCATCACCTCTGTCCGTCAAAATGATCACTGGACTATAAGATGTGTATCGTCTTTGTGAACAGATGATCAGGAAAAGACCAACTGAGTGGACTCTGAGCGAGGCATTAGACTAATTCGCTTAGGTTCAAGACTTTTGATATTCCCAATCTGCATGAGATTCTGCACAGTGCACGTGAATTCGTTAGTTAGCATCGTAAATCTTTGGTAGCGAAGCGATCCATTTCTCCCGACGGGTGAGTGGTATGCCTAGCCAACGTAGAAAAGTAGGTGTTAGCTAGCAATAATTCGCGTTGTACAGCTTGATGAAACGCCGATGCATCGACAGCCAAAGAGTAGGCGAACCCGGAACCATTATTCCCGTCGGGAATGTGGGAAAGGGGGAGCCGAATGGCATGTTTTATGTACATAGGCGTAATTCGAGCAGCAGAAGGATTTAATTCAAAGTTCCCACTCTCGTGCCTACGGTTCGAAGATGCCGTAGGCATGGGGGGTGCGAAAGGGAACCAGGTAATATAGCCACTGTACATGCTGAGCATGTAAACAATTATGCATGGACTGCCAATCACTTGGCTCAAGTCATGCGCGAGGACAAAAAAAGACCGTTCTCCGAACGCCATGCAGTGACGTTGCCCTGCACTACCAGCATAACCGGTACTACAATCAAAAGGGATAATCCAGAACAAGGATCAAATTGTTCACATATATATTATATATAGTATATATATATATATATCGCTGGCTGAGCACCGAATCCTTGTACAGTTCATTTCATTGGCCGCACCGATCCTATGTGCCAGTAGCAAAAAAATACACAACATCTACAATCTCATGCTAGATATCAGGATTTGCTACACTGCATCAACATGGCGACCATGGAGTCTCCCCAATTTTAATGACAAAACCAGAAGGTTCAGATGGGAAGATCTGGGCTGCTAAATGGTCGAATCGAGACCTTACGGAATTGTCACCATTGTCATTATAGTGATTATAGAATCACATTCACCAGGGTAATAACCACCATGATTATAATCAGATTCATCACTAATAAGCGTTACAACCACCATGATCACCACGGTCATAATATCCACCGTTGATCCGCCGTTTTTTCACAGAGGAGCCGAGGCAGAGGTCGTGGCGAGAGGGAAGCTTGGCATCTTGTAGAGGTATCACAAAACACAAGGCTCTCATGTCAACCCTTGCTTCTACATACCCAGCAGTTTGGCGTACACCCACAAACCCACAAGTTCTACTTTTTTCCTGGTTCTCCCCAGTTTTTGATATCGTTTGCTATTGTTCTATCACATTTAACATTGGTTGGATTTATCCAAAAAATAGTGTACCGCATTTTACCCACATGTTTGCCATTGACAATCCGCATTCTTGCTGGATTTCGACGGGATTTTCTAAGTGGATTCTCTCCCCAGTGGGCCCAGGACACCCGTGGCCATGGCGGCCATGGCGGCCATGGCGGCCATGGCGGCCATGGCCGAGACCGGGGCGACCGGGGCGACCGGGGAGCTGACCGCGGAGCTGATCGCGGCGATCGGGATGGAGGCAGCTCCACCTGACGTTTTTTTAGTGACATGTGGCTCTGTAAATGGGTTACCTCAAAAAGGATTTAAGATATTGATAGTTACAATGTGATGGAATTGTGATTAATAATGATTTGAAAAGCTATTGACACTCTAGTTGCAGATGGATTTTTGATTGAACTGTAGTCGTGATCTACAAAAACAAAGCTATTACTTGCCATTATGGATGGGATTAGTCTTCTTACAAGTTGTGAAATAGATGGGAATAGTTCATAGTTATAAGCATTGGTGTGGTAATCAGTAATATCATTCCAATCATTTTGAATAATTGCTAAGAACCATGAACTAATGATGGGATGATTACTAACTACTATAATGGTTCAATAATTCTGCTTATCATCATGATTATCCAAATGTTGAGTGTGGAACCAGTTGCTGGTTGCTGAGTTCCCATCAGGCGAGAAGGGCAGATAGCAACTCGAAGCAGCTCGGCCTCCGGAAAGATATATGCGGCTAGGGTGTGGTTGATGTACCCTCTGGTTATGTCAAAATAGCTATTGAAAATGGCCATAGAAATAGTGGATTTACCCATTAAAAATGGAGATTTTCCATAGCTATGTTAAATTACCAGAGGGTATAGGTTCATTTATTCATAGGTTGATAGGCTCCGGATGAGATGATTCAGATATTTTGTCCATCTTTTTTTGCATCACTGGATCTTATTTGGGGTGAGTGTTCTTCTTTTGATCCATTGGTCCTTGTGGCCTCTTAGCAAAGCTCTGGAAATTGGTGGCTATTGTCTTTCCAGCTTTTTTCAGAAGTGGATTTCAGTGCCATGTCTGGGCCACATTAGTTGACCAGATAGAACACCATTTTCCCTGGTTGGTGGTTTGGAACATTTTTTTTTCCATTGGGAATGTCATCATCCCAACTGGCGAAGTCACTCCACATCTCGGAGTTTCTCCCAAGGTCTGGACGTGAACCTCGCCGTGCGCCAATGAGGAAAGAAAAAAAGACATGATGTGAGTGCATCACAGTTGAGCCATCCTGAGCCATTCTGAGTCATCTGACATTTTTGTGCTTTGATAACTCTGAAAAACCAATCCTCTTGTGATCAGTGTGGTGCCCATCCCATTCTTGTTCCTTTTCTCCATGTGTTGGTCGTTTTATTTTCATTCTCCGGGTTATCTATTCAGGCTGTTCACCCGTCAATTTCCGTGTTGATCTCCCCCTTTCGGTTGGTTGAATCAGTTGAATCAGTTGAATCAGTTGAATATCTCGGTTTTCTGTTGGTTTTCTCCGCGTTTTCTGTCGATGATCATAGCCCCTTTCGTTGTTTAGATCGCCATGTCAGACCTGTCAGGTGGGTACCTACTCACTGGGCAGCGCTCAGTGTCACATCCAGGGCCAAACCATTGGTGCTGCTCCCAGTTGGCGAAGAGGTGAAAGATGGGTCGGATGAGACCGGCCATACATGTAACATGTATGTAGAATCTATGTATATGATATATGTATCTACAACATATATGATATATGTATCTATGTAAGTATGGATATATAGATATACATATATAATCATATATACATAAGTGGTTAGTCAACTTTTGATGGGTATGCCTTGAATTGAGGTATATGACCTCCATCTATGGCAATTTCAAGGCAAACATGATTTGATGAGAAACCATTGTTTGTTTTAGGGTCTCAGACAAACCCAAATGGCTACTAGAAATCGATGGGGACAATTATATGGTTTTCAAGAACCATGTTTTTTGGGTACCTAATCTTTTGCTGTTGGTGGGTTTGATGGTCTTCGACGAGTCTTCGATGTGGTTCCGCTTTTCAATCTATCTGCGATTGGAATTCATTCCCAAGCAAATCACTATGGTGGGGTATATGTGATCGGATATATCAAATGATGAGACATATTTCCCGCATCCAAAGCCGCATGAATCTTGACATCTACATGGGTTTGTCTGAAAAGTCGGGTCCTCCAAAATCCACGAGTTTCTCATCATTCTTCCTCTTGAAATGGCCACTTATGAGAGATATCCCCATTTTCAGACACACCAACATATCTTTTGGTTGTCAATATCCCAATAACTCCCCAATATGTCCCCGTTGTCTCCCATTTTAATGGCATCCATTGACATCCTTATCTCCTTATCTAAGGTGGTGGCAACGAGACCATCACCTTGTCTCAATGCGCACTGCAGCGTGGCGTCTCTTACAAGGTGACAGTAACAGATGGTGACTGAAGGATCATAGATCCAGTGGAATGGAACATTGTTGAGAAGCGCCCAATTTTTGATGATCATGATTTTCCCAACTCATTATCACATGGTTCATCCCCGATGTTACTTCCAGATTCAAAAAACCTGACACGGTTCGCACTTGGCGGAGTCCCTTTGACTGGGTGAATTTGACCTGTGACAGGCGTTTGCCTATGTGGAAGGCCTGAACTCCACTTATGTTGCGACCTCGGTGACCATCGGAGGCTTAGTTTCTGACCTGGGACAAGATGCAGGGGATTATTGTTGATGATGATGGTGGTGGTGGTGGTGGTTGTGGCGGCGGTGGTGGTGGTGGTGTTTGACGTTTTCATTCTCTATTTCGATTTTGGGACTTGAAGACTCATCAAGAAATGCGCGAAAGGGTCCTGTGTGCTGAGACTGATGGCGAAGCCTCACGACCAGTGTCAGTGGTGGTCGGCGCCCCAGATTCTGCAGCCATCATGTGGTTGGGGATACCTAAGACGACCATAGGAATGGTCATACCTTCAAGAATTGCCCATATAAAAGGAGCAAAAATCATCCTCTGTTCATGTTAAACACCCCAATTCATCCCAATTGATGGTCCTAGTCATGGTTTCATCAGAAAACTCCATGGTTTCAGGTTCCAGCGACCTCCATGCAGTTCCAGTCCCTTCCTATGCTGGTGGCCACCTCGGTAGCTTTGGGTGTGGAAAAACCTGGCAAAAGGCGAAAGCTTGGGGAAAAAGTTTGGGAAAATGATGACATGAAACGTTTTGAAGCAGAAATTCCGAGAAAACCATGTCTTGTCAGAGAACAGTTACTGGATTCCATTGATGACACAGATATTTTTGTCCTCAGCTCAGCGTGCTTTTTTCAGGATTTAGATGGTGATCATCCAGATCCAGCCATACCTACCAAACTTGTGATGGAAATGAACATAGTATGGTTGATAAGTGAATAGATTCTATTAGATAGGTCCCACTAAGTTTTCTATCATACAATTCTTATTCTTGATTGAGGAGTATGATTCCATTCCCTCATGATAGGTTTCATTGAAACTCCAACTTCTATCATACATTCACTGATTGCTAGATTGATTGGCTGATACTATCAATAAGGGTTGATAACATACTATCACTTCACAGGTTGATAGTACGTTATCAACCCTTATTGATAGTATCTTATGATACCATCTGGTAAACTGTCCCATAACTATGGAAAACCCACCCATTTTCAATGGGTAAATCCACTATTTCGACTGGGTCATTTTCTCCAATCTTCGGAGCCGAGCCAACAGCCAGGTCAAGACGGTGTTGACGGATGAGATCTCCTTCACCTTCACTCCTGAGGCGAGAAGCGCCAAACGCCTTGGACGATGATTTGCAGTGGAAAACTGATGTTGTTTCGATATTGCTGTTGTTGTTGTTGATGATGATGATGATTATGTTTACTATTATCATCATGGTATCCTTATGATTGAATATGATTGTCATTGTTGTCACTATATATATATATCATTACATATAGAGATAATCGACCATATAAACAATGACGGCCATGATATTGACGTTTCATCTATCTTTTTTTTGTATTTATACGTATAATATTTAAATATATATATATATACATACACATATACATATAATCCATACATACATATATATATATATATGTATACATACATACATATATACACATATCATATATATACACATCATATATATATATACACACATGATTTTATCCACTCGTATTGTCATCAGTATCACTGATGATGCTGGTCAGTGCTGCCATTGCTACCATTGCAGGCGACAGACCAAGGTGCCCTTGCAACCATTCCGGGCAATCTCTACACCATGGTCTTGCCAGCTGGGTTTGTTCCCGACAGCCCATGGGCTTTGGGACTTTGGGACTTTGGGATTGGAATGCCTGGAGAAAAGGAGATTCCAACTACAAACTTTGAGATTTTATGGATATCTGATGCTCTATCCCAAGAGTTTTAGCAAATCCAGGGGTTTGCCCATGGTTTCTTTCAATGTTTTTGCAGTCCTTTTCTGCTCCAAACATCCAGCCGCCCATGGCAGGTGGTGACCGAATTGCAAGCGCCACTTCTGACCAGGAGCTCGGTGAGGACCATGACAGGTGCCTTGGGTGGTGCCATGCTCAGTGTAGAGTTGCCAACTGTGGTTTCAACAAGTCATATGTCTTCCATCATTTGTAGATATTTTGTAGATATTTATTGTAGGCTTATTATTGCCATTGTGTTTTGGTGGTTTCATTTTTTTTTTGTGTGTTTGTTTGCATCCCTTCTTGAAACGGTGATCATCGATGACTGTCGGTTCTGTTTACCTCGGCGCGTCCGAGGTGCGAATTGCCAGGTGAACGGGCAGAGCACGGTGGGAGGAAACCCGGTGCAGACTCTGAGTCAGGCCTTTTGGGCCGCGGGGGGGTTCCCATCCAGTTGGATAAGGAGGGGATACCTAGGGCCTAGGGATACCCTGAGATCCTCTAGAGATGATTCTGTTTTCTGATGGGATTGAGAATGATGATTGGGGTATTGTCATGTTTTTGGACAAGCCCATGGCACTGTTTAAGGTGCCAGTGTCTTTGGAGACAAGCCCTTGCATTTTGAACCAGCGAGATCCTTGGGACTTGAAGAAATCTTGATTTGAAGTCAGGAAGGTATCGAGTTGAAAGGTGCCAAGACGATTCAAAAACAGGACAACCAACTCAGGTGGTCACCGCCTGAAAGAGAGATCTTCCAACAACTCCCATGTCGCTTCTCCAGTAACCAGAATGGGAACATCTATCCATCAAGATTGGCGGAGCATTTCCATTGCCATTTTGGGTTGCCAAGGGGTCAACCACATGTATACTTGGTTGAATCATAGAGATGTTGTTGGTGAAAAGAAACCGTTTGATCATTTTTGATCATCAACAACATCTATATCCCAGGGATCAAACCTTTTTTTTCACCAACAACAAGAAAATCTATTGTTGGCGGAAATATCCTTTGGAGCCCCACCTTCTCATCAACTTCTCGCCAGGTGCCCGTGACTTTGACAGATTGCCAACTGAGACATGGCACCAACTACCAGCTGGTCACCTACATCGAGGATGGGGCATGGCGGGTGTGGCTGGGTTGGTCCAGGCGTTGAAGAAAGCCTCCCATGGCTTTTTATATGGTACCCTTGGGTGATCATGGTTCAATGGAACATCTCTATACTGTTCGTTGATGTTCCCATTGACACCTCCATTTCGGGAACTTCACAGCCATGTTTGGTGACACCGGAGGGTACCTGAATCTTCCAATGTTTGCAAAATCACCTTTTTTTGGACAATCTGTGCATTTCGTAATCCATAAGTTATGGGTTTCTTAAATTTTCTTAACCCTCGGGGCACCCCGAGGTTCGTTTTTTTTTTGGTCCGTGGCAAGGACACCAACGCGCGCTCCGATGGCACCCTCTACTTCGTTTCCATCAAGACACCAGCCGGCACCTCGAATGACTTCACGGACTTCCCCATCATGGTGGGCAACACCACTGCGACCTGGCCGGAAAAAAAAGGGTGAGGGATCCCCCAAGTCTGCATAGGTTGAAATACTATAAGTCATGGTCTAATGACTTGGATGATTTGGGGTTACATCCAATTTAGGAAACCCCGATATGCAAAAAAGGATAAAGACATGCAGACTATCATTTCCCGAACCATCCGCTTTCCATGGTTTTCCCGCACCTATGATTATTATTTTTTGGATATGAGTGATATGAGTGCCATATGAGTATGTCTGAGAATGGGGGATAGCCCAAAATTGCAATTTTGATGGGAAAACAATCAAAGGTACAACATTTTCAGATACACCCATATGTTCTTTAAAGGAAAATCAAGGCCCCAGGCCTGAACTCCACAAATCCCAAGGAGAACAACGTCTCGTTGCAGTTCACCGCCTCCCAAACGACTGGAAGTGCCTGGATCATCGTGCTACCCTCTGGAGACGTCAGTGGGGGCAGCCCAGGGGTCGGCGATGTCTCGTTTTTGATGGCGTATTGGGGGAACATTTTGGGAATATTTTCTTGGGGCCACTATCAGTCACTATCATTCAATGAGAACGGCCGAAAAAAACAACACAGACTAAACAACACTGGACTCGGGAGGTTTTTGTGTACCCAATATACGCCCCAGAAATCCTTCAATATTTTAAGCCTGTTTCCTTGGACATTTATGGAGCTTTAGAGGATGCCATGCCGTGTTACTGAGGTACCGCCACAGCCACCTCAGTTATGAGCAGCCCTCAGCATTCAACAAGTTCATCAAACATGAAAAGCTGCAGTTCGAGATTTTTTGTGTTTGGAGATCTCGTAGGTGGTTTCATTGGCGTGTCCTGCGAGTTATTTGCTTCTCAGAAATTACTGTACCTTCCGTTCCGAGGGCCGGAACTGGTGCCATGGGTGGCACCCTCTGTCAGTTGCAGATGACCATTGACAACTCTCAGCACCTTTGCTGAAACGGGTTTATGCAGATCCAAACTGACAAGTTGAAAGGTGAGCATAATTGATTATATAATTGATGATTTGGGAATTTTTTAGGGAATGGGTTGAGAGGTTGAGACTGACTACCAATCAGCCTGCACTGTTTTTCGAAGTCAGCAGAGTAGGATTGGGGTGTTCAGGTCGATAGTTTGTTCACCACCGAAGCTTGGACCTACACTCCCAATTATCACCCAATGATCCATTTCATCACATTCGTAATGTCATCATCCCAGCAACCCCCAGCAACCCATCCAGCAACCCTACCCCGTGCCGAGGACATCGCCGGATGCCTCAAGGGAGAAGATATCTTTTGGTGGTTTGTTGATAGTTGGTGGGGCAGTTCTTTGATGGAATATATCGAATTATATCTAATTTTAATGATTTGGAACTTCTGAATGGTCGGTTTTGGCTGGTGTCTGTTGTAGAACCTCGAGTTCTAAGATGCTGCAATCAACAATCTGGATGGAACATGGCCGACATGGCCCATTTAGAACTGGGGATTTCCCATGTTTGATCACACTGGGTGAATCCAGGCTGAAACGACGCTGGGACGCTAGGATGGTGGTGTCAATGGGCAATATCTCCCATAGTGAGTCATCTCACTAAAGATGAATGGAAGCTTGAAATAGTGGCTGCAGCCACTTAGGGTATCGCCATTTCTGTCCGATCAATCCCAGATTCTTCTTATTGTTTCACGTTGGTAAGATCGCTCTTTTGTTCAAGAACATTTCAGTTTCTGTCGCTTCAACTTTACTCTCAATTTAGTCACACCATCACACCACCCCAAAGCAACACGTTTCAATCTCCACTTGGTCAAAAAACATCACATCATCCATACCTGGTTGGTGGTTTGGAACATGGCTTTTATTTTTCCATATATTGGGAATGTCATCATCCCAACTGACGAAGTCATATTTTTCAGAGGGGTAGGTCAACCACCAACCAGATTATTATTAGCCATCATTAACCATATGCCATGTAATATCCATATATATATACATATATTAACATATATTAACCATTATTAACAGTATATAGCCATCATTAACCATATATTTATTAACCCATATAATATCCATTAGTTATATTTATTGAGCCATATTAACCATTATTAGTTATATTTATCCATATAATATCCATATATTTATTTCATTAGAAATTCTTTGATCACCCCCTGCTTTGGGCCGCAATCGTCCAGGGTGGACCTGGATGATTGCGGGTTGGCCTTCTCCACCGACTATGCGGTGATGGCCGCTTTGATGACCACGTAGCGGTTGTGGCAAAGACGGGGAACCTCATGACCATTTAGAATCACATGTGATTACAGATTTATGATGGAAAGGTTGTGATTGTAACATTTATGGTACATGATGTAAATGTGGGATGTTTAAGAATCAAACAAGAATACACCTCCATTATGAAGTGGTGACATAGTCACGTTGAGCCAGTTTTTTTCTAAACCCCTGGTTCAGTAATAAAAGGGTAGTAACTTTGATAGTAATGCTTAAAGCACAGTTTTGGGAACCCCGTAGTAATCTGGAGGTTTAGACAATTTACGCGGGGTTGACATGAATGGACGTCCCGGGATATCCCGGGACATCCCCCATTGTAACATGTTCCACCATCCAAATCCACTGATGAATGGTGCTGTTCTCTCTTGGGCGGTGCAGGTGATGTGTCCAATCACAGATTATGACAGCCAATCCCTGTGTGGCTTTGTAAAAAATAAAATAGGTCATACGAGTCATATCCCTCAAGGGTGGTATTTTCATTGCAACAACTTATGGCAATGTTCATTAAAACAACATATTGGGACAATGATTGGGACATCCCAACAACTTGGGCAATGCCATATTTTTACAACATATGGCTATGAGTCAAAACCCTGGTACAACATAGGTACCCCAAAATTGCTGGGTTAATGGATGGTTATTCCCCTAAATATGGTAATAATAGGTTTTGAGCCATCCCCATATCTTCCGCTTCTGGAAATTCACCATCTCTGAGGTTCCCCAAAAAGGTGAACGCTGTTGCAACTCCCCTCAGCACCCCAAGGTCTACGTGGCGGATGTTGGAAAGCATGACGATGGTGCCCTACCAGGGAGCCTACCAGGGAGAAGTTTATTTCTCTTTCAGATATATGTGGTGGTTTGCATAAATGGTGGTACCCCAAAATAGATGGTTTCCAATGGAAAATCCCAATCTAAAATGGATGATTTGGGGGTAGCCCCCATTTTAGGACACCGCCATATGTTTTTCATAGTTGTTCCTGCAGGGTTTGGGGCTCAAAGGTGACCAAACGGCTTTGAAAGGCACCGTACGTGTTGTGCCTCCAGCTCCTCCAGGTCTTTTTCACAGTTCTGTTTGCTCAAGGAACACTGTGACACTAATCATTCTACATGTGCCCTGAACGTCAGGATCAGCCAGTGTTCCAGTAACTCGGAAGTTTTTCTCGAAAAGTAGATTTTGTCGGCCGAAAAGTAGACAGTTGTGCACGTAACTTATTCAGACTTTGACACATTCGCAGCACACTTCTCAACTGGGGATGCCCCCTGAGAAACTCCACCCTGGTGTCGGCAGTGTCGGTGTTGGAGATGCCTGATGCCTACCATCCACCTGGACGACGAGGACGCCAACATGGCAATGGAAAATGGAAACTCTCTCATTTATAGATGGCTTCAATTGTTTCCCTATACTTAACTGCCCATTTATTTTATTTATTGGGGATTGATTTTCTATGGCCACTTTGATTACATCGATTTGGAAAAAACATATGGTTTTGCTGAGAATATTCTCCATAAACATTGGATTTTCCATATGCTATAGCTGGAAAATCCGCCAGCAGTACCCGATGATTTTCCGAAAGCTCCTAAGGGTTAGGCCATGGCCCGCAGGATGAAACCACTCTAGATGTGGGATGGCTGGTGCGCATTATCGGCTTAGAGAAGGCGACAGAGCTGAACGGACAAGTTGGCAGCGTGAAGAGATTTGTGATCGAGAGGCAGCGATACTTTTTCTGGATTGGCCATGCAGTGCAGATGGCAGGCGGTCAATTTTTTGGCCATCGTGTTTTGCTGGATGGCTTAGATTTTGGGGATGTTAAACCATGTTAAAGCCAGATCAGACATTGTAGCCACCTTCCATAGCCAGATCTTTGTAGCGGTTGTCAATCCAAAGCCAGAAAAATGTGCTCCAACAAATTGACACAACGTGCTCTAAGGATATGAGGTGGAGCTATTGAACACTGAAGACATCAAGTTGATCCAAGCGCGAAATCTGGAGCAGTTGCCTATCTTGGAGGAAGAGGGTGCCGACGAATGGATGTATCATGGTATCGCCCTCTTACTCCAACTTGAGACCCCCAAAGGAAAGACTAAAGTCTCAACTTACTCGAATAACCATACATGAATTTTCATATAACGCGTAAATGTGTGTCTTTATACATATGATATCATATGATACGTATTTAATTGTATTTATACATATGATATACGCACTACTTAGATCTTACCAATACCATCCCACAGTATCATTTTTGGGTTGACTTTCCTTTGCAGTAAAGTTGGTTCACAACGAGGTCAACTATGATTTATGGATGTTTATGGTAGATTAATATCGGCGTAATCAATGGGGTAACCATAAACCAACACGTTCGTTTAATCCCCAAACAGATGCCGAAACATGCTGAAATTTCCCACGATTTGAGGATTGGATTTGACGAACTTCTATATCTTTGTTGGGCTTACGAATTAATTGAATGTAAAAAGATAGAAGATGATAGAAGTTCGTGTTTCCAGGATACTAGAGATGATGTTGACCTCATATGTCCAGGTTGAAATCAACTTTTCTCATCTCAGAAATTTGCTACAGAAATTTTCCCTGCAGGAAGTCGGCATTTGGTGCAAACTGCTGGAACAGTCCAACGGCAACGCTTCGGAACCTCTGGTCCTACGACAACTGGAACGACTCGAGGAGATCAACATGACGGTGGAGCTGCTGGTGCAAACCAAGGTGGCGGCTGAGAATTAGATTGCCTGGGGAT